TTTGGGCACGCGTACGGTGCTGCAGGGATTATATATAGGTGTAGTAGTACCTCTTCGGGCTCTTGTACACCTTTTTCTTGCTACGTGTGCGTGTTCTTTAGATCCTCAGATGGCTCCAGCACTTTCGTGACCACGGGCCGAGAGTCTTTGCTAGATTTTGGCATTTAGCAACTGGCATACGGTTTAATGTGAAGTCAACAACAACAACAACAGCACTACTTGCCCCGAAGCGCTATGTACTGCTGTAGTCTACATTCTTCGTTGTGTGTCGAGAAAGTCGAACAAAAAAACGGGGTGTCTCAGCCCTGGAAAGCAGTTGCCGAGCCTTCACGTCTACCCGCGAAGGCCTACGAGCAGTATCTCTCGGGGGGTACAACAGCAGTACTGAGGCTGCTGCTGCTCTGAGTGCAAGTTCCTCTGCAACTGACCTCCACGGGGAAAATGTGCGCCGCGTGGTTGTCGGGTTTCATAAAGAGCAAAACAAGAACAGATCCCTCTCGCCCGCCGGTGCGTGCCGAAGGAAGGAGAAGGTTGACCACTGACAGCGGTGACACACGCAGAGGGATGTGAGCTGCTCTGAACGAATTTTGAGTTCACGTCACGACTGCTGTAGCACACGGCAAACGATAGCTTCTGTTATGAAATGACGATGGTTTGAAGGCTTCGTTGTTAGCCCGCAAACAGCCAACAGAGTTAGTTGTGAGGTGTCCTCAGCTTGCTGAAATCCAGCAGCGCTAAAACAGGCGGCAACGCGCAACAGCAGACGGCGCAGCGCGCACGGCAGAACGTAATGTACAACCCGAACACTTGTGTAAACAGCGCCCCCCAGCCCTCCTCGCTCACATTTTCTCGAAGCAAGTCGTTGATGGCCTGCTTGGACTCGACGTTGCTGTCATTCAACGGTATGCAACTGAAGTGCTCCGGGAAGTTTTGAAACACCGTCAGCACCGAGTCCCGGTTCCCTTTCCGGCAGAGGGTTTGCACCGTTTCGATCACCGTCTGGTTCATCCTCAGCCTTTCTTCTACGGTGTATGTGTGCGACACAGCAGCAATTCTTCGTGTATGGCGCGGGAACAAACGAGGAAAGCGGCGAGGGCGGTCACACGCACAACGGTCAGCTGTCGGGTGTCCGGTGGGTAAAGGGGGTGGGTCCGAGGGGGGAACGCAGAATGTAGGCGACAGTCCCGCCGGAGCGCTGTAAATCTGACCGCAGTCAGCCAGCACCACAGGCAAACATCGTAGTATCGTAGGATGCATGGGAAGGAAACACACGCACACACCGCCGTTGCTGCTTGAGAGGGAGAGAGAGAAGGTGGGAGGAAGGAGAGAGAGGGAGAGAGCGCCATGCCGGGAGGCGCGGCCCCACCTCCAGTGCCAGTGACGGTCTTGCGAGGGCACACGTCAGGCGTCCACGCGTCGTGTTACCTCAAGGAGGATATTCTCCTAACCGGGTAAGCAATCTCAGCAGAACATCCGTCTTGAAAAATAGTGTGACTTTTACACAGCGTGATGTTTCGACACGCACTGCAACGTATTCCTTGGAGGAAGAAAAATGAAGGTTCACATGCACAGAAGACGACAACTCCATGGTTCCGCTGCTGCTGCGTGTCGTGGACCTACATGTACTTCTCGCGATAAAAATACCTCAGGCATGAACCGCAGGAGGGGGTCCAGCCCCCCCCTCGTATGTGACCCCGGTTGGGTCGTCTAGCTAGTAGAAGTGGAGGATAGGGGCCAGAGGGGCAGACGACAGAGTCCAATGATGGGAGAAAAAAAAAAAAAAGAAAACAGCGTAGACTACACGACGCTGTTGTAGCCTTCTTGGAAGGGAAGGTTTCTGTGCACGATATCTACATACAGCCGTAGCTTACCGACACAAGAAATCACACCCCCGGGACAACATGGTGGTGGCGTTTAAAAAACTATCACCGGGTGTTGTGTCCTGTGTGGGGGGTGATGTCGTACGTAGCCCGAGTGATACAGTGCGGTTGTTGGTGCCGTGAAGGAAGGGGGTATGACAACTACAGCAGGGGGTGTGATACCCCTGCCACACACTTGCTGGGGGTGTCGTCACGAAGGGGCGAGTTAGCGCCTGCGAAGAATTGCCTTACCTGCTGCCACACGTGTATTTAGGAGGTGTGATACCATGCCCGCAAATAACTACCGCACCTCGCTTTTGCAGGGTATCGATACGTGTCCCCTGCCGGCTTAGCCCGGTGAGAACCCGGCGTGCTCCGTCCCGGCTTTGTACGGATGCGAGGTCAATGGTCGAACGACTACGGCATGCACGACTATGAGTACACCCTCCAACCCCCCTGCCGATTTAGCTACCTGAGCCAGCGCGGCGTCGAACTTACCGATGTTCTTGACCCACAACGCCAACGTGGCCTTGTCGGGGGTCTCCAGGGCTTTAGCCGAGGGCCGAATGAGACTGTAGGAATAACGTACACCAGCAACGTCCTGAAGATCTCCGACAAGGCCACGTTGGCGGTGTGGGTCAAGAACATCGGCAAGTTCGAGGCCGGGCTGGCTGAGGCGGCAGGGGGCAAAGACAACAATAGCGCTCAGAGGCGCGTGTCGCTGGGCACCAGAAGGATCAAGTCGAACGCGGCCGCCAAGCTCGAGATCATCGACTGGATCAATGATCTGCGTTCCGACCGCGCCTCTGCCCCGCGTCTCGATAGACATAATCAAGCACAAGGCCACCTAACTCAACCGGGGCCCTTAGGAAACCGGCCCCGGCCGTCCGACCGACCTCGCGGGCAACCTCAAGTACAGTAAGAGGCCGATCGTCTGGCGCAGAAGGTTTCTCAAGCGGTACCGACTGCCACCCCAAGGGTTAACAAATAGAGAGGCACCGCATACAACACACCTAAGCTTTGAAAGTTGTTGTTTCGGCCTCGTCACTGAACCTTCGCTGCAAGGATTTCAACGCATCCCCCCGGCTGTCGTCTTCAGTGGGCAGTCCTTCTTTGACGCTACACGCGGTAAACTTGTGCTTCAGATTTTAACTTGGGCATACTTTGAAGTACTAGAATTTTGTACGAACAGTGTACAGCCTGTGCAAGGAAACATGTGATGTACCTGTATTTTGCTATGCGAGATCGCGCGCAGAAGCGTGTCCAACCATATTCACAGGTGCCGATGATTGAGCACCCAACAAGACGATGGTGATGCTGTTCCGACCGCTGCTACTGGTAACCACACAACACCGAGTAAGAAGCAGGCTTACATGATCGATGGGGTTGTTGATTACAGCCGACCTCCATCAATCTCGCAAATGTTTGTTTTTTCTCGACACCCCTTCGTGAATGGCGCACCTTCTTGCAATGTACATCGAAGACACGCGTGCGAATAATTTTAAGTCTTATTTTGGGCGTGCCTAGCTTCGTACACTTCAGCATGAAAATACCATCGCCTGTTGACAGGGGCCTGCGCAAGACCCCCACTTGTTACTTTCTCGGGTCCCAAGCCGGCTCTCGCTTTGAGGCACCATGGCTGATCGCCTTTTTTCTTTTTTCGGTCGCAGGTCCGAGGATGGCGTGGTGAAGCTCTGGAACCTCGAGCGGAGGAGGGCCTTTGCCGAGTTCGAAGCGACTAGCCACGGCATGGGGGTCCAGCGGCTTGACCATCTCGGCCGTGGTAAAATCGTCAGGTAAAAAAGACAAGCGAGGGTGTGTGCGTTACCACCCCCGCACCCGCCACGCACACACGTCGCTTTCAGGCACGGCCCTTCATACTTCTCTGAAGTACTGCTGTCAAATTGTTGTTGTTCCATTTTCAACCACGTGGGGCCCGCCTGTCTCCGGTTATATGAGTAGTCTAGGACTTGTGACGCACCAGAAACGTCGAGGCACTCTAGCCAATGTCGTCGAGAAGAAAAATGCAGGTATGACCAATTTTGGTTCTCCTCCGGTCTCGCTGTACTAGTAGCCTTCGCAGTGTTTTGTATTCATGTACATAAGGGAACATGTTGGATAAATCATACAATCGGGGAATTTGGGTTAGGGTTTGGGTTAGGGAAGGGTCTGCGCACCCCCCCCCTGTTCCATTTCCTAATAGTACCGAATTTCCCGCGAAGGCGGTCCCTCTGTGCCCCCCCGCCCCCC